TGTAACGAACCGAAGCACAAATGTGGATTTAACAATGAGTTGTAGAAGAAATTCCACACTTTCCGTTGCGTTGGGACAAGTGTGAGTCCATGTGCACAGTGGATAAAGCAGCACATATGTTCAGTGTTGGGAAGTTTACTTTTAAAATGTAATCCCCTGCAGATTACAGATTACATTCCCCAAAATGTAGTTTGTAACATAATCCATTAAGTTACTTAAAGTGAGTAATGTAATCTGAATACTTTGGATTACTTGATTTGTTGTAGTTGTTGTTTTTTACAGTGTATGAATGTGTATTGTGTATTACAGGCGGGTGAGTCAGGACTAAACCAGGTCTAAACCAGGTCTAAACCAGGTCTAAACCAGGACTAAACCAGGACTAAACCAGGTCTAAACCAGGATTAAACCAGGTCTAAACCAGGTCTAAACCAGGACTAAACCAGGACTAAACCAGGTCTAAACCAGGTCTAAACCAGGACTAATCTTGGACTTAAGAGAGAAAACGCCGAGCAGTTTGTCCACAAAGTGCGATCGGGCGACTGCCGTCCTGTTTCAGTCCTGTTTCAGTCCTGGTTTAGTCCTGGTTTAGTCCTGGTTTAGTCCTGGTTCAGTCCTGGTTCAGTCCTGGTTCAGTCCTGTGGCGTGGGCAGCACAAAAGTTTGATACAATCTCGGGTTAACGGGCAGGTGCGGTCCTGTCCTGGCAGGTGCAGGACTCTGGTCTGTCGGCTCCATTATGGAATAAATGAATCTTCAGTTTGTTTCATAAAGAAGGAGGAAAATAACAAAAGGACGACAACAGCAACAAGTTTTAAGAAGGAAGTAAAAAGTGTTGCACCTGTCGGTCCTGTCGGAGAAATTTAAAAGTTGTGCGAGGTTTTACAGACTTAAAACAGATAGAATAATTGTAAAATATAAAGTTGATACTTGGTGGATTTCACCTGTCGCAGGTTATTTTTAGAACATAACCCAGAGATAAACGAGGCACACTGTCCTCACCTCAGCCTGTGCACATGGACTCACACTTGTCCCGACCGAGACGGAAAACAGACAGTTTCTTGTCCAAGTCGTTGTTAAATGTTCATTTGTGTTCGGTGTGTTTCAGACTGACTGTTTGTGTCTCGCTCCTTCTGAGTCACAGACGAGAGACGCTCAGTTTAATAAACGATACTGAAAACCTGGACATTTGCATCACTTTATAAAAAAAAAAACCCGGACGTTTGGTCTCCCTAAGTAACCGGGACACTGCGTTTACATGTCACAATGTCCCAGTTACTATCAGAATAAACCAGCTACAGTAACACGGTTTCTAATAACCGGGACACTGAAACCGGGACACTGCGTTTACATGCACCATGAAGAACCCGATCATACCCGGGTTATTGATGTGCATGTAAACACACTCACTGACACAAAGACTAAATTTCACTGACGCAGACATCGACCAGTGAAAACAGACGAGGAAAAATGACGCGATTTTGAGCCCGTGAATTGACACACACTCTGTAACTTGAAAAATATTGATCGAAATATTGATCAAAAATGACTAATACTTCACAGGGTTTGTACGTGATAATAAGGAACCAGCGGGTATTTTTTTATTTATTTATTTTTTTTAAATCATGACGTGTGGGATTTTCTGGACGTTTGTTGAAATGTCGTGGAACGAGCCTCTGTGACTTTACTGTGTTTCACAGCAGCTGTTTGAACTTTCTGCTCCGTTTTATTTCTTATTTTTGAGCAGAGCTGAAAAATAAACGTGTTTTTTTTTATTACAGCTCGGGTCCGTCGCTTCTCGTCGCCATGGATACGCCACCACTCTGCCTGGAATGTTCCGCAGTGTGACATTAAATCAATTTCACAGCTCAAAAAATTGCGATAAAAACAAACAAACAGACAGTGTGACTGTGCGGCGTCGCCTCTCCACAGATCTGACCTGGAGCTCGGCCCCGGTCTGGTCTCCGTGGAAACAGGAAGGCTTAATGAATGACACACTGCGGAACATTCAGTGACGGAGCCTCCACTAGAAAAGTTACACAATGAAGCTTTAAGTGCATTTTTAAACATGTACTTTAATACTTTTGAGTATTTGTTTGCTCTGGTATGTGTACTTTTACTTCAGTAACAAAACTGAGGACTACTGCTACTTGTACTGCAGTTGTGTGTGTACTTAGAAGTCTGACTGTTTCTCTTGGTAGAGAGTAAAGTAAATATTATGTCAATAATTACAGTAACAGTATCAGTAGTAGTAGTAGTAGTATTAGTAGTAGTAGTAGTAGTAGAAGTACTTTCCTGTAAAAATATTTGGAGTTTACAGTTTTATGTATTTAAAAAAAAAAAAAATGCACAGGTCAATTATTAAAAGAAACAAAACGGTAAATGATTAGATAAGTCCTGGAACTAAACCTGGACTAAACCAGGACTGGACCAGGACTAAACCAGGACTGGACCAGGACTACACCAGGATTAAAACAGGACTGGACCAGGACTAGACCAGGACTAAACCAGGACTGGACCAGGACTACACCAGGACTAAACCAGGACTAAACCAGGACTGGACCAGGACTAAGACAGGACCAATTTTCACATGAGTTTAAAACAGAAATGGGTCCAGATCTTAAGACTCGCTAAACCCGGTCTAAACCCGGTCTAAACCCGGTCTAAACCCGGTCTAAACCCGGTCTATACTAGGACTACTCCTGGTCTACATGTTGTCTAAAACAGGACTACACCAGGACTGAACCCGGTCTGAACCAGTCTGAACCAGGTCTGCACCAGGTCTGCACCAGGTCTAAGCTTCATGAGTTTAAATCTGTTCTGGGTCCACGCCTTGAGAATCGTTGCATCTACAGAAAAACAATCACTGATTTCCTGTATTTTAACCATAAACACAAATAAAACCCACAGACTGAACAGGTTTTACACTTTTACATCAGATCTGTGTCGTGTTTGAAACTCTGACGTAACATAATTATTAAAAAATATAAATATAAAAATCACCAGAGCCCAGACGAAGTGAAATGAACCCAAATATCAAGAACGAAAATGAGCTTTTAAGATTCTGCACCGAAAACGATCCACAAACACGTCGGCGCGATAAAAAAAAAAAAAAAAAAAAAACATATATCTTTAAAATGATTCTAAATCTTAAATTAGAGTTAAGTTAAAGGCCCAAACCTGCACATTTAGACTTTAAAACGTTTTAAACACAACTCCAGGTCGGTTTGTGACGCGGGAACAGAGACTTGAAGCTCTCGAGAGTCCGACTGCGCGACACGAGACGTTTACTTAAAGATGCACTGTGGAACTTTTCTGATGGAGGGTTCACCGCCTCCTCGTCTCCATGGAGATGAGACGGTTTTAACAAGATTCTTCCAGTCCTGGTCCAGTCCTGGTCAGTCCTGGTCCAGTCCTGGTCCAGTCCTGGTCCAGTCCTGGTCCAGTCCTGCCCGGAATGTTCCGCAGTGTGACATTAAACGGCTCGGCTTCGGGTTCGTTCGAAAATGCCCCCGAAAAACACGAAACCAGGAGTTGTGAATGTGACGCTGGGGGTCGCCTCTCCGCAGATCCGACCTGGAGAACTCGGTCCGGTCCGGTCCCGTCGCCGTGGAGATGGAAAGGTTTAATGCCACACTGCGGAACATTCCTGATAAAGAAATAACCCAAAGGAATAATAATAATAATAATAATAATAATAATAATACATCGAAAGGAAAAGGAAGCAATCGACGGAGCCTCCACCAGAAAAGTTCGACAGACGTGGAATGTTAAAATTCCACGTTGCCATGGAGACAGGCGAGCAGCAGAAGTTCCACAGTGCACCTTTAACGCGGATTGATTCCCCCCCGCGGTAATTATTCCTCTCGTTTTTGAAGTGCACCGGGAGCTCTGACCGGGTGAAGTGGGATTTTTATGAATAACGACGCGATAATTGAGCAGCTCGCGTCGAGTCTCGCTCCACGCGCCCACGGACCCACACGCCCACGGACCCACGGACCCGCGGACCCGCGGGCGCACCTCTCCTCGCCTCCATCGCTGCTAAAAACGTGCGAAAAAAATCAATTCCAAACGCCTTCGAAACGCGCTCGCTCCGTTCGCAGATCAACGTTTTTTGTTTTGTTTTTTTTCCTTTTTGCACGCGACGCTGTTTCTCATTATTCCTAATTATTCCGAGGCTAATTGGCGGATTAATGGATTGATTTTTAGGCAACGCGATGACGCCTCGTGGGAGAATCTGCCCCTCGGGTCTGTTTAAAATATAAAATAAAAAAACGACTCGGAAATTCTGGGGGAACGAAATTACGCAGAGTTTACGCGGCGCCGTGGCCTCTCCGAACATTGCACTTATCCACCCAGCTCACGGCGTCTGCCCCCCGCCCACCACCCCTAGAAGTGCGCCTGTCAGAGCGGGTACGCGTCCCCCCCGCCGCCGCCGCCGCCGCCGCTCGCTCCACCGGTGCGTAAAAATGCGTCCAAACTCCCGTGGTGCGCGCGTGTTGTGTTGGGGTGTTTCGCCGCTGGTCGTTCGTTGTTCCCGCAGTCGCTCCGGTCGAGCCACGCCGTGCCGCCGCCGCCGCCGCCGCCGCCGCAGCTTTAGCGCAGGGGGAGCGGGGTCGAGCGGCGAGCGTGTCCGGGGAGCGCCAGGTGGATCTCCCGCGGACACGTTACGAAACACGAAGCGAAGAAGAAGAAGAGGAGGAGGAATGTTGCGCGGCCGCGGTCACAGCAAAAAAAAAAAAAAAAAAAAAAAAAAAAAAACACCCCACGAGCCGATCCAACCCGCCTCGTAAAACACCAAAAAAATAAAAACCGACCAGAGATTTTTTTAGTTTTTCGCGAAATTAGAAGTGACACAAAGCAGCGAAGTGTAAAACAGAAACAGAATCACCAAAAGCAGCGAAACGCGAGGGCGAAAAACTCCAAATGTTGCAGCCGGTGTGGTGTGTTCGTGTTTAAACTTCCACCAAATGACGCGTAAAAGCCGCAGCTCGAGGTACTTAC